TCCTTCCTTCCTTCCTTCCTTCCTTCAATCCTAAAAATCTAGGCATGGGGGAGTTCGAAGGGGCCGTGGGGGGAACTTTCGTGCAACTTCGGGGCCTTTTTGGAGTCCTTGGAGGGGGTGCTGGAGAGCGCTCCTGGAGGGGACTCCCTCGTTCTGCTGGGGGATTTCTGCGCTCGCTTGGGTGACGGCAGTGGGACCTGGAGAGGCATGGTTGAGAGGAGCAGCCCCCCTGATCTGAGTCTGAGCGGTGTTTTGTTGTTGGGCTTCTTTGCTCACCATGGATTGCCTGTGGCAGGCGCCATGCTCAGGCGTGGAGGTGTCCATATGTGCTCCAAGACACACTGGGTCGCGGTTCGGTGATTGACTTTGTTGTCGTGCACTGGGGCAGGCACCGGGGCCTGCCTTCCTGCCCATGCCCCGGTGTCTGCCTGCCTGCCCCTCCCCGGTGTCTGCCTGCCTGCCTGCCCCTCCCCGGTGTCTGCCTGCCTGCCTGCCCATGCCCCAATGTCTGCCTGCCTGCCCATTCCCCAGTGTCTGCCTGCCTGCCTGCCTGCCCCTCCCCGGTGTCTGCCTGCCTGCCTGCCCATGCCCCGATGTCTACCTGCCCATGCCCCGGTGTCTGTCTGCCTGCCTGCCTGCCCATGCCCCGGTGTCTGCCTGCCTGCCCATGCCCCAGTGTCTGCCTGCCTGCCTGCCTGCCCCTCCCTGGTGTCTGCCTGCCTGCCTGCCCATGCCCCGGTGTCTGCCTGCCCATGCCCCGGTGTCTGCCTGCCTGCCCATGCCCCGGTGTCTGCCTGCCTGCCTGCCCCTCCCCGGTGTCTGCCTGCCCATACCCCAATGTCTGCCTGCCTGCCCATGCCCCGGTGTCTGCCTGCCTGCCTGCCCATGCCCCAATGTCTGCCTGCCTGCCTGCCCATGCCCCAGTGTCTGCCTGCCTGCCTGCCCCTCCCCGGTGTCTGCCTGCCTGCCTGCCTGCCCATGCCCCGGTGTCTGCCTGCCCATGCCCGGTGTCTGCCTGCCTGCCTGCCTGCCCATGCCCCAACGTCTGCCCCGGTGCAAGACAACAAAGTCAATCACCGACCCGCGATCCAGGGAATATACTGTAGAGCAGGGGTCACCAAATGTTTTGAGACTGAAAGCTACTTTTGGGGTACAGAGTAACACTAAGGGCTACCTCTTCGATACATAGGTGCCGATTCTGTGGGTGCTCCAGGGTCGGAGCACCCATGGAGATTCCCAAGCACCCACGGAGATTTCCAAGCACCCACGGAGATTTCTGAGTGCCTACAATGACCACTCCCCCACTACCTGGCAACGCGTTGCGTTTTGACGTCAAATTCAAACAAACCGCCAAATACACTGAGTGCCAACTTCTTGATAAACTAGAATAATGGTTGATTAAGCCAGCAAAATGGACAAATTTGTGATAAAAAGACCAAAAATGTCCACCGACCCGACATCTTCTTCCAGTGAGAACTCTACCTTGTCAACGACTGAGGACAGTAGCAGTGCAGGTGTCCAGCTAAAGAAAGGTCGGACTTTTCAAGCTAGCTGAAAAGGCAAGTACGCATGGATAAACTACAATGCTGCAAAAAACAAAGTATTTTGTGAGATTTGCACTGCAGTAAAAAAATGGGCGCTCCTCTCCCATCCACCACACATGACCAAGAGTCTTTGAAAGCTTTTGTGCGGGGCGGTTTTTCCAGCTGGGCCAAAGCACTGGAGAGATTTCAAACTCATGAAAAATCAAATCTGCATATAGCTGCATTTAGCACTGTTGCTGCTACTAATGTATCTCAAATCTGATATGAAAACATGCACTAATTTTTTTTTTCAGGACAAATGAATGAAGATCTGTGGTTTGCAGCACTTGTTTTATTGTGTTACAGTTGCATGTTAAGTTACAGTTTTTAATTGTACAATATGGACATTTTTGTCAAAATTTTCTGTAAAAAATGTTTCATATAAGAAACATGCTGTTAAAAAATGCGTGTGAGACAATTAATAAAACAAAAAAACTTTGTTGTACATCTGTGTGCATTTGGTTTAAATTATTATATTTGCATCACGTTTTGCTGTTTTAATATTGGATAATGGGTGGTTTAGATAAAATTCAAATGCATAAGATTTGATGTTTGTGGTCCTTAAACTTGTGAGGAAATTCATGACATTTTATACCCTTAATAGGAAAAACTATTGGATTAAGTGGGTTGAACAATATGGGTCCAATGTGAGGCCCATCAAAATCCCATCTAAAACTCATCTGGGCAAACACACTTGGGGCCACCATGGAAACTGAGGACAAAAATAGCCGGGGCCCAGTTGGGTTGCCCAAGTGGGGCCCAAATTTAAAACCCGTTTTTACCCATCTGGGCCCTACACACATTTATTGGCTAGGTCTGATTTGGGGCCCACATAAGGCCCATCATAAACCCATCTGGGCAAACACACTTGGGGCCACCATGGAAACTGAGGACAAAAATAGCCGGGGCCCAGGTGGGTTGCCCAAGTGGGGCCCAAATATAAAACCCGATTTTACCCATCTGGGCCCTACATACATTAGTTGGCTAGGTCTGATTTGGGGCCCACA